ATTAGGGGAGCGGGGGGCGGAGGGGTCGGGGTGGGCTGGCGGCCCGTCCCGTTTGTCAGTGGGGTGTTGTCAAAGCGAAAATGACTTTAAAAGGTTAACGCGTTGGGGGAGTGACAGGTGTGGTGGCTGTCTGGTGACTGCCGCCTCAGAGCCACGGTCTGCCACCGTCTTCAAAGTGTCGCTGAAGGAAGAAAAATTAGGCGGTTTTATATCATGGGTAAAATCATCTCGGCGCTAACAATTCACAGGTTGAACAATATCCTACGGATACCTCCTTCTGAGTCCCTTTTAATGGGTGTTTCATCATTGCTTCACTGGTAAATGTCTGAAATAGCCCTGCAGAAATAAACAAATGTGTATTGTGAAATTTATCTTTTTGGGTGGCTCAGCTCCTTTAAAGATCGCATTGTCTAGCTAGACTAGATAACGGCATTTCCCAGACTTAGAATCATGGAATCATTTAGGTTGGAAAAGACCTTTAAGATCATCAAGACCAACCATTAACCTAGCCCTGCCATCCCACCACTGAACCATGTCCCTAAGCACCTCATCTGCCCGTCTTGTAAATACCTCCAGGGATGGGGACTCAGGTTGCCTGTTCCAATGCTTGACAACCCTTTTGGTAAAGAATTTTTTCCTAATGTCCAATCTAAATCTCCGCTGGTGCAACCTGAGGCCATTTCCCCTCGTCCTATTGCCCATTACCTGGGAGAAGAGACTGACCCCCACCTCACTACAGCCTCCTGTCAGGCAGTTGTAGAGGGCGATAAGGTCACCCCTCAGCCGCCTCTTCTCCAGGTTAAACAACCCCAGTTCCCACAGCTGTTCCTCGTAAGACTTGTGCTCCAGACCCCTCACCAGCATTCTTCCTCTCCTCTGGACATGTTCCAGCAACACAACATCTTTGCTGTTGACAGTCTATTTCCAGGCTTGAGATGCCTCGCCTTCCATTCCCATGTCCAAGTGTGCAGCTATAAGTTGGGAACCCTTGCTGTGTTGTGTCCAGCCATAAAACCCTGCCAAAAATATTCCTCATCAGCCTTCTCCCAGGACTCTCAAAGGAACTTCAAAACAGACTTGGAGACACTGTTTTCCCCTACGGCTTCTTGATCCTACTTTCCTTTTTGCTGTCAAAGCAGAAGCATGTGACTTGCCTTCCTTTCCTTCTGGAAAAAAACCACCCCACCCCACCTTTTCTCTTACCAGTCCTGAAATTCCTTAAGCAATCACTCTTATTAAAAACCCAGCTCCTTGGCTGAGCCCATCAGCCCATCCTGGTGATAAACGGCTCTCAAGATGTGTGACTAGCACCGAACAAACCAGCCTAAGTCTGTCTAGACCATCACCGCGTTCCTGGGTATGTGGCTGCCCTTAAATCTAAATTCCTCAACACAGCAAATCTGAGTCGCAACATAAAAAGGATTTATGTGACCCCCAAAAGACAAAGCTATGCTCTTTGATGAAGGTAGGCTTCTTCCCCTTGTATGTAGAGACCTGCCAGTCCCAATTTACTGGGCAGGGAGCACTGGTCTGCCAGAAACCCTGGGGGCTCTGCGAGGGGAAGATCTCTCAACGGATGCATTATTCTTTCTTAGCACCCTTTGATCATCCATTTCTAGTTGCTTTGGGTTGCAGTTCCCCAAGCAGCTGAACCACTGGTTTCTTACCACCAAAGGGACACAGACTCTGAGAAAATGAAAATATGGAGCATCATAACCGGTATCAGTAAAGGCTGGGGGATGAAGGGATTGAGAGCAGACCTGTGGAGAAGGGCTTGGGGATACTGGTGGATGAAAAGCTGGACATGAGCTGGCAATGTGCGCTCACAGCCCAAGTGGCCAACCGTATCCTGGGCTGCACCAAAAGCAGCGTGGCCAGCAGGTTGAGGGAGGTGATTCTGCCCCTCTGCTCTGCTCTGGTGAGACCCCACCTGCAATGCTGTGTCCAGCTCTGGGGTCCCCGGCACAGGAAAGACACGGAGCTGTTGGAGCGGGTCCAGAGGGGGCCACAAACATGATCCGAGGGCTGGAGCGCCTCTGCTGTGAGGACAGGCTGAGAGAGTTGGGGTTGTTCATCCTGGAGAAGAGAAGGCTGCGGGGAGACCTGACTGCGGCCTTTCAGTACTTAAAAGGGGCTCATGAGAAAGATGGAGAGAGACTCTTTGGCAGGGCTTGTTGTGATAGGACAAGGGGTAATGGTTTTAAACAAAAGGAGGGTAGATTCAGTTTAGATATAAGGAAGAAATTCTTTGTAATGACTGTGGTGAAACACTGGAACGGGTTGCCCAGAGAGGTGGTAGATGCCCCATCCCTTGAAACATTCAAAGTCAGGCTGGACAGGGCTCTGAGCAACCTGATCTGGTTGAAGATGTCCCTGCTCACTGTAGGGGGGGTTGAACTAGATGAGTTTTAAATGTCCCTTCCAACCCAAACTATTCTATGATTCTGTGATCATGAAAAGTGCAATTTTGCTGGAAATATCTTGCCCTTCAATTCTTTATTTCCCCACAACCCCCCCCAATAATTTTAAATCAGGAAAGCATTGTCTCATTTATTTGGAATTTATTTGGAATCTTCTCTCTACCACACCTTCCCTTCTCCCCCTCCCCCCAATATATAACAGAGCAAAAGTTTATCACAAACTATCCAATTTTCATATTGAAAATAGCTTTTTAAACCCCAGCCTGTTCTTCTTTACAGTTAGAAAAACAGGGAGCAGTTCAGGTACCTAAAGAAAGGTGCCCAGTGCCGTGTTAAACATCTCAGGGTACTGGAGGCATCTACACAGAGCTGACAGATGAGAGTGGGAGCCGTGAGAACTGCATCCTTCTGAAGCAGCAGCTGGAGGCCGGGTGGGACCCCCTTCCACACCTAAATTGGTGCTGGAGACCTGAACTGCATCCATAGAAAGTAGTGGTGGGATTCACCTCTCTGCCCCATGGATGCCTGTGCTGAGCTTGTCCTTTGTACTTCATGGGGAGAGGGAGGCTTAGACTCACCTCTCAGGCATGAGTGATCTCAGCTGAAAGCGTCTGGGATAAGGCAGAGGAGGAGAGAAAGCCAAGCCCCAACGTGGTTTCCCAGGTCTCCTAGACATGTGGTTTGATGTCTGGCCAAAAAGCTCGGGTATTGCCCAACTCCCGTTGCTTGGGTGGCAAAAGGCTCAAACGTCCAATATCCTGTTCTTATTGGAAGAGGCAAATAATATTAAAATCAGATTTATTGTTACTATTGAAAGCAAATATTTAAAACAACATATGAAAGGATAAATGGGAGTATTTTGCTGTGTGGTGTGGCTGTAGTTACCAGGAGAGGGAAGTGTTTGCCCAGAAAATGAAGGCGCAGAATGAGAGACGGCTTGGCCTGCACTGGGAGGGCTGGCGCCGATGCTGCCCCACTAATGGGGAGCTGGGGGCATGCTGCCAGCCCAGAGTCTGCCACTGCATCTGTAAATGAAACCATTGTTTGATGCTGCCTAAGAAATGCGGGATATGTCAGAGCCCTGCCCATTTCATTTCCAGTCATGGGGAAAAGGGGCTTCACAACATTGAAAATAGGCTCCATGTGATCTATCATTTTGAGTGAGTCACCTGCATATACTATGAGACATGATGGATATTAGCCATTCGGGCTTGGAAGAACGTTTGCTTGGTTTTTTTATAAGGCTTTTTCACTATTTCTCATCTCTTATTTTTGATAAATTAAACCATATGATCGGCTGAATAAAGGGCCATTCTAAAGAAATGATTTGAGATTATTGTAGCCCCCACCTCTCGCTGCATGAAAGAAAAACAGAGGAGAGCTCTCTGAATGGGTTAAAAAAAAGGGGTTTTAAACTTTTACAAAGACAGTAGAAAGCCAATTACAAGTGTCCTAAGGAGATACTGACAAAGTAAATGGAGTCTTTTTTTAGAATACAAATATTCCTTAAGCCAAGATTGATGATATACGTGAACAGAGAGT